ATCAATGTTCTTGAATATTCAATGAAATTTTATTTCTCAGGTTCATACGACAATGAAAATGACTGAAAATCATGAAAATTCAGACAACTTTTCTCCTGAATTTTCAATCTGTCGCTTAATTTTCGCGATAAATTTAAAAATCCAAATTGTCACTGAAAATTCAATGATCATTCATAACGAAAAACTTAATTTGGAGCAATTTAGTCTGAAATTGAATCCAAGTTCAGAATATTGAACATTCAAATGCATTTGTTACTTAAATTTCAAAACATTTCTAACAGTGTATCTAATTCGCTAATGATATTTTTCAATGAATCAATTTAGAAAGATCCCTCCAAATCTTACGAATCAAATCATCTTCCATTTTTTCCCAATCCCCATAAAATTCACAAGAGAATTTCGTCGCCATTTCATCCGTAATTCCTCCTAAAAAATTAATCAATGTTTTTTTAATCCACTGAAAATTCCCGCCACGCGTTGAATATTTCAATTTGCCCCAAGTTGAATTTCCCTATCAGCGTGCAGCAAACACTTCGATCGGAATTTAAATATGTATCACCAGGAGAACATTTACAAATTGTTACAAATTTCCATCATGTAAATAACCCATTCCCCTCGCCCGTGGAGGCAGTGTAGAAAAAAACGAGCAAAACCAATGTGATGAAAAAAAAAAGAATCTGAAAGGGTGAGGAAAAAAAAATCACGGCTCGGCGAGCATTCTCGTCCAGTAACGAATCGCTCCGTCGTGAAAAATTTAGCCCGGGGCAAAACCCCGAGTAGACTTAAATATTACCCCGGCCGAGCCTCGGGATCCAAATGGCGGTGCTGGAGGTGCAGAGGCTCGTCGCACACACGCGGATGTAGAGTTTTCAGCCGGCAGCACACAGTGCGCCCCAACAGTGTTCCACGAGCGCGTGGAGGTTAACTATTTTGAATTTCAAATTGGCCAGAGGCAAGGGCGAAAAAAATCACTGCACATATATCCCACACATACATTCACTCCAGTGTACATATACGTTATAGAACTATGGAGGTGGAGGAGTTTTATTTCGTATGGGAATTGAGGATATTTTTGGACGAGTTGAGTGCATGTTCAAGTAGTCTTATGATTAAACTCAATTTCACCGTACACGCACTTGATGTGCATTATACTACAAAAATACGAGGGCAGTGAATAAAAGAGGAAAAGATGATGAATAAAAAGTTTATTCTACACTGTTGAAAATCTCCGGTCCACATGCGGTAAATTTGGGATATTTCTACTGAGAACATTTCCACAATTTCATGAGAAAATCAAATGGAACAGAGAGTGAGAGAGTGAGAAGAAAAGAGAAAATCAAGAGGACCTGTTATTCTTAGTTGAATTATTAGTGAAAATTAGTAAACATGAGAGCCATTCAAGTGGAAATAATATGAGTGCTCGACACAGAATTGAATATTTAGTTCATAGCGGCTATGTACTAGAATATGAAAATCAAGTTTTTTGGTTTGATGATTGTTTTTATTTCAAAACATACTGGTTTTTCAGAGTTTTTTGGGGGTAAGGTGATTTACATTTATCATCGTTTTGATTTTTATTCAATGCTAATTGTTATCTTTTCTGGTTACGCTACGGTTACATTCTTGAATTTTTCCATTAATTGAAAAGTGAGCACAATTTTATAGTGAATATTCATGGTCAATTGAGAATTGAGAAATATTTTTGGAGGAGTTGAGTGTACGTTCAAGTAGTCGGAGTACATACCGAGTCAGACTGTTGTTATGATTAAACTCAATTTCACCGTACACGCACTTGATGTGCATTATGCTACGAAAATACGAGGGCAGTGAATAAAAGAGGAAAAGATGATGAATAAAAAGTTTATTCTACACTGTTGAAAATCTCCGGTCCACATGCGGTAAATTTGGGATATTTCTACTGAGAACATTTCCACAATTTCATGAGAAAATCAAATNAGAATTGAGAAATATTTTTGGAGGAGTTGAGTGTACGTTGAAGTAGTCGGAGTACACACCGAGTCAGACTGTTCTTATGATTAAACTCACTTTCACCGCTTAAATTCAAAAATACAAGTGCAATGAAATGAAGAGGAAAAGGTGATGAATAAAAAATGTATTCTCCACTGTTGAAAACCACACACAGAAAATTACAATCAATACACATACGGTAAATTGTAGATATTTCCATTTTTAGATATTTATTGTTGAGAAAATTTCCACAATTTCACGGGAAAATCAAACCAGTGAGAAAAAAAGAGAAAATCGAGGGGAACTGTTATTTTTAGCTGAATAATTAGTGAAAATTGGTAAACACGAGACCAGTTCAGGTGGAAATATTGTGGGTACTCAGCACATAATTTATTATTTAGTTCATTGCACCTATGTACTACAATTGTGGTGGTAAATTTGCTCGTTCTTATCATTATTTTATTCCAAAACGGCCGGTTGTTCAAAATTCTTTGGCGGTAATATTGTGAATCATATTTCTCTTCATTTTGATTTATATTCCGGGCTATTTCAAATTTTTTTCTGGTTGTGCTCAATGTTTTGTGCGAATAACTAACCAACCGCCGATTCTATCGTCTCCATACACTAATCAGTTCTAAATTACATTGCCAGGCATCGGTTGAAAAAAAGTTGAATCGCTTCATTTCTTCACAAGCTATCGTTGGACAAACTTTTCACACGGACACACAGGTCTTCAAAAACGTATCAAGACGATTCTGGAGGGCAAGAAAAGTGGAGAAATGATGGAAATTCCATAACAATTACTCCCTCCCTTCGGGTCGGCAAGTTAAAAATTATTTGACAAAGTCACACACTCCCAGTTTGACCGTGCATTGAAACGAAGAGGAAAAGTTGATGAATAAAAAGTGGTTAAAAGTTTAAAAAGAGGGGTTACAGGGCAGGGCCTATGCAAATGTCGATATAAGGTACTATACCAGTTACGTCACTCTCGACACCGGAAGTCTGCCAGTTGTCCCAGCAGACTACGACCCGCTGACCTTCCTCTCACTCACTCTCTCTTGATCCCTCTCCCTCCAACTAGTTGAAAAACTTCATTCCCTCCCCCCCTCCCCCTCCCCATCTCACCCTCACCGGTTCTTGGGACGAATACTAATTAAAGAGCCCGCGAAATGAAATTAGTTGGTCGGCCGGACCGAAAAAGGGAGTGAGTGAGGAGGGGAATTAGGATGACTGAGTGAAATAAAGAGTGAGAGAGCGGGTGGAACTAGTGCGCCCGGTAGAGCCGCTTATGATAATATAATAATAATACCTGCTCTCTGGTCTCTCGCAGCGGGACTTTGTTCAAGGTGCCACCTTTCAAAAACTCATTATGCATTTGGCTCAAAACTCAAATTCAATTTTCCACGGTGACTTGGCTGGAAATCTGAAGAGCTTTATGTATTTATAAATTGAGAGGATTTAAAGTTTTTTTTTTTTCACTGGACACGGAGAAAATAAAATATTATAGTAAAGATTAGTATGCCGGAAACCGCACGTGGTAAACGTTATCAAAGTTTTGTAAGTATTACTATGGACATTGTGATGGCTACTATATGAAACGACGTAATGGTTATTTGGGGTATGGTAAGCTGCTGAATGGTAATAGATACTATGGACATGGCAATAATTACTATGTAACATAGTAGACCTTAATAACATAGTAACGCTTACGATTTTAACGTAATAAGCTTTTCGTTTTGACTGATATTCAGGGCTAATTCAAATTTTTGCCACCTTGTTGACGATGTTGACATAGTAAAGATTACTATGTTACATAGTAGAGCTCCCTATGTTACGTAAAATGTCCTATGACATATGATGAAACTATTCTAAATAATTAAATACAATCTAGGAATGAAACGGGAGTAGATCAACGTTAGACACAGAAATATAATTAATTCAAGAATGAGAATTTTCTTGTTATAAGAACCCTCGAAAAGAGAAATTATATTTTTGAAGGAAATAATGGATTTATTCAAAGAGCTCCTAATAAAGCTCATTAAAACCTAAATTAAATTTGCAGTTGCATTTTATTCATATCAAATGAATAGTTTTATAAATGTAAACAAATGCATTCTCCATACAAGTAAAAACTTTATTATTTAGAAATGTGGAATTATTGTTTAGATGGCGAACGAAAAGAATTTATTGATGTGTAATAATCCTCTGGTTGAATCAAATAAATTGATTATTTATTTCTAAATAATTATCTACTTCTAATAAATGGAATTGAAAGTTTATTATTTAAATAAAAATATATATTTCGAACAGAAATATTGTAGAGTTTAATAGGACAAATACAAATAAAGTGTTTAATTTGTTAAGTTTTTTTTACGAGTTGAAGCCTTAAGCGTCTTGCATTTATGAACGCATTAAGAGGTAATCGCGAATTTCAATCGGTTATTTTAGTTCATGGACCATTTTTCATTCACATGGTAACCATTTCTATGGAACATAGTAAGCATTGCCATACGACATAGTAAGCATTACTATGAAATATAGTTAGCATTACTATAGAGCATAGTAACATTACTATGGAACATAGTAAGCATTACTATGGAACATACTGAGCATTACTATGGAACATAGTAAGCATTACTATGGAACATTGTGAGCATTACTATGGAACATAGTGAGCATTACTATGGAGCATAGTAAGGATTACTATGGAACATAGTAAGGATTACTATGGAACATAGTAAGGATTACTATGGAACATAGTAAGGATTACTATGGAACCTAGTAAGGATTACTATGGAACCTAGTAAGGATTACTATGTAGAAATAGTCGAAAATCGTTTTACTATGTTACCATAGTTAAACCATAGTTAGGACCATCTTAATATTTACTATTTCTCTCCCTGTAGTATCATCAGACTGGACATTATTTGAAAAAGAATGTAGTATCGTCATTCGCATGCCCTATTTATGATCTAATTAGACGAACGTACAGATGAGTGGTGGAAATATGAGGATAGATTGATGGTACTCACCTTCCGATTTTGGAGGCGGTGGTTTACGAGTCGCCCAATTCGTCCTGATGGCTCTACTCCCCAACCACTGACCATTCATTGCGGTAATTGCACTCTCCGCCTCCTGGAAACAATCGATTTCATAAAAGATGCTGATGTTTATTGAGGGCTACTATAGAGAGATTCTGTTCTACCGGCGATTACCGTATTCCTAAATTTTCCTCTTCCCCCGACTGTAACTGAATCTGACAGTTAATTTTATTGGGGGGAAAATACAAGGATGAGAGAAATACTGAACTGCTCGGAGTAAGTTGTTTTTAAGATTGGAAAAGCAAGCCTCTCAAAGCTACGTTTACGGTTGCAGAGTTGTGGATTAAAAAATTGGGTAAATGTACATGGAGAGAAATTTACGAGAAATTCGCGGTCAAAGATGATTAATCGTGCACGGAGGATTTTTATTCTTGTTACGTGAAGAAAATTGAGAATGATTGCTTTCGATTTGAAAAAAAAAAATGAAATTACAATTTTTTTTGCAATTACAATTAGTTTCTTTACAATTTTTTACAATTTTCTTGAAAATACAGGGAAATTTGTTGAAAAATTGGACATAAATTTCACAGGATTTTCAGTGACATCACTTATGACCTTCCCGGTCATCAGGCTTTCAATTCAAGGAGGAATTTCTCTCTATTTAAGATATTAGGTCGAACAAGGAACAGTGATATATTGCATGAAAACATTTCCCCTCCACTTTTCCTTGTTGTGGCTGAAATCCCACGGTTCTCACTCGCCCAGTCAATTACAGTGCTAAAAATTTATGTCTAAATTTCCGGCAAACTTTTCTGGAATTTTCAAGAAGCTAAGTGTTCACTGGAATTTCAGAGAATTTCGCCATTTGGAAAATTACAGTGCGATGAAAAAGTAAATGAAAACTCTAAATTTCAGTTGAGTTATTTTGTGAAATTCTGTTAAGAATAAGAATACTTGGGCGATTCAGCTCCAATGATTTTTCGCATCCATTAATTAACAGAAAATTTCGCTGCATTTGTTTTTAATCCCAAATATTTTCCCAAATTGCTTCAATTTTTAATTTAGTTTAATATATTAAATATAATTTAATGATTATAATTTAATAACTTGATATAAATTTAACATAATTTAATATATTAAATTCAAAATTACAGGAATTTGGGGAAATTTTCATCCTATTAATTTTTAAAATTGGCAATCACTTGGATTTCCAGCTAGACCACGCAATTTCACAAGTCTTTTCCTCCAAACTCGAACGCAATATCACTTACAAAAATTACTGTTTGCACTGAGAAAAAAATTCCTTAGCAAATTCCTTGACAAAAGTAATTTTTTTTCTCAGTGTGACTATCAATGAAATTTCATATATCTTTCACCCGTGCACAAGCCTATTTTTCCGAAGCATCCCCCTAAAAATTTCTCTCCATGTCCACAAGATATTAAAAAACGTCCAAAACTTGAAGAATTAATTAACGATAAATATAATTAAAACGGTTTTTACGAGTATCTCAAGTGAGTGGTACAAAGGCTACGACGGATAATACACCCCCGGGCTGAATAACGTGATTACCCTTTTCTATTGTACAATGCGTTAGAGAAGAGAAATTTCGAATCAAAGGAGGTAAAAATAATGAAATACAATAGGAGCAAGGAAATAGCGAAGAAAAATAATCTAACGAAAAGGGGCAAACATTTCATTCTATTTAGACTTAGGTCATGTTCATCCAGACCTCGTCACCACCAGGAAAATAGATGAATAAAAGTGATAGAAGTAGATAAAAAAAGGTAAAGAGATATATGGAAAAAAGATGGAGGCGAGGGAGTTCTGACGTTGAAAGCGATAAAGCCTCCACCTGGGCTGCATTACCAGTGCATCGGCGTAACGTTCCCACGGGATAAAGTATTTCCAATTCGAATTTTCATTCTCAGTATGATAGCGCACATTCGCACTCATTGTGAGGTACCCCGGAGGCGAAAGGGCGACGGGGGAAGGGGGGATTGAGGGGAGGGAGTGGGTGTGGGCAAAAGCAGCTCTTCCACTTGGCTCCACTCTCTCTCACTCTCTCGTGCCTCCTTTTCCCGGTGGTGTTCGTGGCACGTGGCATTTTGGTCTAGTCACCGATTCGTAAAGTTGGATCGATATTAACATTCAACCGCAAGCGTGCATGTATATGTAGGTGCATGCCCGATGTAATAATGCCCTTCGAGTGTTGCCCGGCATACTTTGAATAAAACTTCGTATTTTCGTGTTAATAATTGATGAATTCCACGGCAGTCCAAGTGTACTGAATAACCCCAGACAATCACTTACGTGGCTCTTTCAATAAGTTTGTTCCAACCTAGACAATAGGTAAAAATACATGAAATAAGCATGAACCTATTATTTGAGCTGACTCGGTCAATGATAACTAACCCACAAAAAATATATCCCTCACGTATCCGTAAGTATTGTCACACGTTGCGGTGTACAAATGGTTGAGAAAAATGAAATTTCATGAATTGTCGACTGTTGATTTTCAGGAGAGTGACATTGAGGGCGATTTAAAGAGGGAAAAATCATGACATTTCTGGTTTCACTGACAATTCACTGAAATACTACATTTTTTAACAGCATTGAGATGAGAATTACTCAACTTATTGGGTTTTTCAAGGGCATTATGAATATTCAGTGCCGAATTACCATGAATTTTGAATTGATTGAAAATTCAAGAATACACGGAGGGAAAATTTTTAGAAAAACTCTAGTGCTGTTAAAGCAAAATTTCTAGGGATTCCTAATAAACTTTATGGGGATATCTGTGAAAATTTCATGTAAGAATGGGAAAAATTCGCGGGCTACTCAATAAAATGAAAATTTTCAGTGCTGACACTGGAATTTTTTTTTAGAATTTCTCTTCGTGGATATTTACCGGAATTTTCCTCATTTCTACTTATTATCAGGGAATAGTCTAACTGAAATTTGCAATTGTCATTTTTTTTATTCATGAAATTCCAAATTTTCAATTACAAGATACCTTGAGATTTCAGTGAAACTACAAGGTGATAAAAATTGCCAAAAAGTGTACAATGTTGACAAAATTTAGATAAATTTTCCGAAAAAAACTTGAATTCAATTTAAAGTAATATATACAAAACTCAAATCTTCAGGATGAAAATCTGGAATAAATTCTAAACGAAAGTTTATATGAATTAAACCATTAAGGTTGAGTTCGTGATCAATTGGCAGTCTAGTATTATTGATAACAATTAATTTAGAAGTTCCAAAATAACAGTCTTATCAGAAAATGAATATTTCGAGGTTCGAGAGGAGATTAAAATGTAGAAAAAATCTTAAAAAATCAGAAAAAATTAATAAAAATTTTGTGTCTAATATGAAAATTTGCGATGAATAATTTATGTTTCTGGGTACTCCGAATGTACAGGATGCCCTAGTCAAAGCTAGCATCCATGTAAGAAATTATCAATGATGAATTACTACACTCAACGAGTTACGTGGAGTTTGGGTATACTACTTTAAGGGGAAAAAGTCAATGAAATTTCAAGTTTCTCTGAAAATTCAAGCACAATCCTATTTTTTCATCGGCAGAAAGACGGAAATTTCACAATTTACATAAATGTTCAACTAAAAATGAGGATTCACCGTCTAATTCCCTTGAATTTTCAAGAAATTTCTTTGAAATTCTCGAAACTCCCCGAATTATTTTAGAAATTCCCTGAAAATTCCGAGGAATCGGGCATTTAAGAAGAGATTTCACTGAATTTCTTCATTTTTCATTAATTTCCCGGAAAAATTCAATCAAAATTCACAGTTCCCACAGACTGTTCCACGAAATTATGAAATTTCAATGCCAAAGTTCCTTGACCTTCCACCGAAAATCTTACTCATTAAAAATTTCCCGGAATTCCCTAAAATTTCCGTGAAAAATTTTCACCACTGTCCAAAAACATCCAAAATTTCCATCACCGTATCAACCGACTATGACCTACCTCTATCTCGTGGCGCACGTGGAGTTTATACATACAAAACAAACGCGCGCGCCAGGGGCCTTCCTCAAGACGTTGACGCATCGAAACGCGATAGCGTCGAATATACGCGCCACTATAAACAACCCTGGTGGATGCATCCGGAAAATTTATGCTCTCTCGCCGACCTAATCTCAGCACACGGGGGATGCGCGCCTAGGCGTTTCGCCCCCTTCCCCTCCCGCTCCCCCCTCGCCCCCTACGACCGGACGCCCTGGAGGGTAGCCCACCACTACCAGCCCGAGGGCACCAGATCGATACGGCATTAAAACAGCTGCCTTTGGCCAGTCCTGGAGTACAAGGAGAATACCTTCACCCATTCCCTTAGAGCCCCCCCCCCC